TGCGGCGCTACGTCGGTGACAATTGGCAATGGGGAAATTGGTTGCTTCTTCAAGGATATATACAAAACATGCAGAAAATTTCTTTGGCCTTAAGAGGAAACGCTGACCGACGACAATCGCAAGGTTAGATGGTGCTCCGCCTACTCACTAGTTGACCTAGGCGGCCTTGACATCCATGACTTGACAATTTCGAGTGCGCCCTAAGGCTGAGATGGCTATGACTTAGCCTAGCAGGCTCCTCGGGATCCATGGGTGGGCTGCGAACTACTGTGTGATCAGCACGATAAAGATCTCTTTGCATGGGCTACGTCGGTGACAATTGGCAATGGGGAGATTGGTTGCTTCTCGGAGTCCTTCTAGCTCCGCGCCTCCGAGCTGCGGCTTATTGCACCGGCGAGGTATGGTCACTCAAGTGGAAATTGAAGATCGGTTAAGGATGCATTGTTGAACAACAAGTGGCTCGGGGATATTAGATACAACAACCTGGCTAACGAGATGCTGGCGGATTTCCTGCGGCTGTGGGCCTTGCCTTGATCATCTGCGTCCACCTTACGGCTCGAGGTGCTAGACAAGATCATTTGGAAGCTCTCCAGCTCGGGCTCCTATAGCGCGGCCTCTGCATACCGGATGTAGGTTTTAGGAAGAACGTGATCAAGTTTTCGAACTTTGTTCTGGAAGGCCTGGGTGCCTCCTCGCTGGTAATTCTTCATTTGGCTTGCGCTGCAAGACATGATATGATGTGCTGATCGAATCATCAGTACACCTTCTCTAGCATTGCCCCGTCGCGTTGGAAGCGGAAGCACTAAACAAAATCGCTGGATTAAAAATATTTATGTATACTTTTTGAGATGAAAATGGAGTGGAAACTTTCCACTTTTTTGGAGGAAAATGAAAACGGGGAAGAAATATGAAAACGCAAACGGAAATTTGCAAACCGAAAATGGAAATAAATTTTTTTATATGTGGAAACGGAAACAAAACAAAAGCGGAACGATATTTTCCGGTAAACAAGCAAGGAAATAGAACTTTCCGTTTCCGTGAATATGGAATTTTTGTTTTTAGTATAGGCCTATGGCCACTTTGTAGCCCAACCATCAAACAACACATCATGACACACTAAGTAGAATGGATGATTTAAGGCCCAACTTCTACAACCACGTACGTATTCAAGTAGGCAATGTACGTAATTGTCCAATACTACTACAATACTATGCTAAGTTGCTTATATAATCATATTATTTCGTAGCCATGGTAAGATTTCATTAAATTTGTTTGTTTTTGTTTTTATTTCTCTATGACTCAAGGGTTTCTTATGTTCCGGTCAATGTCCACTTCTGTTTCCGTACCCGCTCTATATTCCCTTCATGTCTGTTTTTGATAATATGTGTTTCTGTATTCATTTCCGGGGTTTTTGTTTCCCTTTCTGCTGCTGCAAAAAAGTACGATAAAAATGTGATACCACCTAGTTCTGTTCGTTTCCGCTCCGTTTTCATCCCTCGTTGAACATATGCCCTTAGCCCTGTCTTTTTCATCTTAAAAAGTGCTAAACATTTCATCTTCCTCTGTAATCCTGTTGGGTGATTTACCCGCTTTTTTATCGGAGATCGCACCCTTGCGATTACCCTGTAAACTGTGCTCGCTACCTATCTTAATACAAAGCCAGCGTTGCTGGCAGTTAAAAAAAACTCTCAAAGCTAAACAAAAGAAGAAGAAAAAATAGATAAGGTAACAAGGCCGGTTCCTCTGCCAGCCTGCCAGCAGGCACGATCAGAGATCAGGCCTTCCAGCCCCAGATTCAGCTTCTTCCTCTATACACTGTTAATGAACTTGTCAGGTAAGCCGTCAGGGAGCCGCTGGTGCATCGGCGACATCCTGCGCCGGAAAGTTGAGGTCAGGGAGCACGAAGCCGCCTCCGGCTTGCTGTGGCTTCCTTTGCCGCTGCTCCCCCCCTTCTGATTCGGCCCTCTTCCGCTTGCTTGACGAAGAAGAATTTTCTAGCCTTGTCTGTAAAATTGTTCAGAAGGAAAAATGTTAATGCAAGCTTCACACAATATTACAGCGTTCCAAACTTTCAGTTCATCTAGCAAACCAACGCCCGGATGGACAGCGACAGACCGGCTCTGAAATCTAGAGGGAAATTCAGAAAAGGGTTGTGCCCAAGTCCGGATTGCAGCGTTTTATTCATTCTGCGGCATTAATTAACTGGGCAAGGGAGAGGCACGGTGTACCAATAAGTGGTTAGTGGTTACATTAGCAGGGGTCAGGACGTGGATGTTCGCCATGAGAGCACTGACCGGACCTAGGTAGCTACTATAGCATGCAACCCCGTTCGTGCGACGATGCCATCCTAGACAAGAGGAGAGCACGGACAAAGCAAATCAAGCAGGGACCATTCATTCGGTTGGCCAGGCCTAAATATATTGCCACTACACTGCAGCTTGTTCGTTCAGCCATGCGTGTGGTGCCACACTAGAGGTAGAGGTCACCCGGGGCAGCCGTGGCTGACGAGGAGGGTGGTACGTACACCATGCCCCATGGATTATAGTAAGTGCGGCAGCTCTGCTGCAGGGCATTAAAGAAGGGCACGGGATCGTCGTGCCCGCCCCGCCCGGGCAGGTGCGCACAGATCCATTTGCTTGTCTTCTTTATCCCAAAGGATTTTGGACAGCATATGTACGACCAGTGAACACCAAGCGAGACCTCTTCTTCCACCTACTACAGTACTGTGCATCCACTTGCGCATACAGCACACCCAAGCAGTACAGTAACATTGAACTGCCTAGGGTACACACACTCAAGTACCGAACCAACCATGGGGCAAAGGGGATCAGAGCTTCCAATTCGAGATACTAAATGGCATGTGTTCAGTTCAGAAAGTAACAGATAACGGAGCAGGAATTCCGTCTAGCGGCATCGATCGATCAGGCCTTTCAACTATCAGCACATTCTAACCCAAACGGGACGGACCATGGACAGCGACACCACCCCAAGACGACGACGAAAATCCACGTCTTATAACCTGCCTAAAGCTTATCCGGACGGCACTGGTCGCAGTCAGTTTTTCCCGAGGACAACAGCAACGGTGGTTGAGAGGGATGCGACCATCGAATCAAAACCAAAATCGTGCTACGAACCACAGCACAGAGAGATTAAGGCAGGACCCACCCAGTGGTGTGGTGCCCCGCTGGGAGGCTCAGGGCGGTCTTTTTTTTTTTCCTTCTTATTCTTTTGCCATCGATTCACTCACGCGCTTGTGCTTTAAGGCTGCTCTACCATGCAATGCAAGTGGAGGCGCCCAAGCTATTTACATATCTTTGTTTCTTTGTGCCTATGATTGCGCACTCGGGGGAGTACATCCCACCCAAGCTGGAAGCATCTATCTATCTATGCTACGCAATGGACAGGGCAGGAGAAGTTAAGACTGGTATCATGGTGCGCGTGAGGGCGTTTCACTCACCTCTAGTCTGCCGTTCTCCTTGGACAGCGCCGTGCAGGCCCTCTGCAGCGACTCCATCTCCTGTTTCAAGCAAGGGGATCAATATAAAGAACAATACGAAAATAAATTTGCTTTAAATTAGCTACATAATTATTATTTTGTAAGAAAAATCCAATAGAAAATGGAAGAAAGAACAAATTGGTGGTGCTGGTTAATTTAATTACCTGGCGAAGGCCGACGTTCTCTGCCGACAGGGACAGCACCAACTGCTTCACCTCCGGGAGCCGCTGCAACAACAGATAGAGCAAGTTCAGGCCACATCAATCAGGCAAGCCAAAAGAGGCAGATGCTAATCTATTTTTTCTCGTTTATTTATAATACTGGAAAATCTGATGCAATCGATCGTGAGTTGGGAGGGACAGGACACAGGACAGGACCGGACCGACCGTCCGGCGTTGATGAGGTGAGGATCTTTTTGTGCAGGATAGGCACGCAGCTTTGTTGCCTTTCCTGTCCTTTGGACGCCAAGCACTTTCTCTCTCCATCTTCGATTCCAATGGCAGCAAGTGGTTGCACCACCCGCTTTATTCCACAAGGCTAGCTTGTCTCAGAAATGGATGTATCTAGAACTAAAATACGTCTAGATACATTCATTTTCGAGACAATTAATTCTGAGCGGAGGGAGTAAAAAACAATTAAGAATGCCAGCCATTTGAACAGACTCACTTCTCCTACGACCGACTCCGTCTGCGTGGACTGTGGCCAACTGCTGACGCGGTATAGGGATAGGATAGAAACCTTGACTAGTAAAAGTCTAAAACTTCATTCAAATGCTGAAAAATGCCTGCCTATCTAAACATGCCTTCAACGTAAGATAGAGAGCTGAGTTTCAAACTTACCATCTTCTTCCGCGACCTCTGGCCGGCGGTGCGGGGCGGCGGTGCTGGCTGGATCAACAGGCGCCGTGCTCCTCCGGCAGATCCCACCTGCAGCAGCACAAGATGAGCAATTGCAAGATCAGTTGTTGGGTAGGATATGCTGCTGGTAGGAATAGAATGAAGAAAGCGAGAGTGGAACCAACCAACCAACGACCACCGGAACGAAAGCAACAGCAGGAGGGACACACGTTCTTTATATTCAAAAAAAAGAAGAGAAAGGAAACTGGGTGAAGGCATGGAAGGAATGATGATGTTGATGATGATGAGACGGATGAGCATGAGCCGGCCGGCCAAACTAACTCCCCACCAACAATGCACCGGCCCGGCGCATGCATGCATGCATTGTACTCGCTCGCTTCCCATTAGCCAAATCACGTGAAACGCATTAGGGTTTTGAGCTTTTGAGTCGGTCCGTCGGCAGTGCGTGAACACCAACGACCACCTGCTCATCTGTCATATTTCCTATCTACACACTTGGAGTTTTTAATTAAATTAATATATAGAAAAATGTTTTCTCTTGGACGGTGACAATGACACGCGGGGCCCTTTGCGAGGCCATGTAGTACGGCCTGGGAAAGCGGTAGTGTACCGCGTGCGTCACCAACCGAAAGGTGTTGTGTTTGCTGCTGGCATGCTGGGCCAGCGCTAATGGACACGTGGCGGGAGGCAAGTGGCCGCGACACGCAGTATCTACCACCGTCCCCTCCGCCCGCGTGTCCGGCCGCACGGCCATAGGCAGCGCGCGACCCGGGCACGAGGTCGAGCTAATCGGCGGCGGCCACGTGGATCTCTCCGACCACCGCGCGCCGGTTTGACGCCGAGAAGTCCCAACTGCATGGCCGGTAGGGCCCGGCCCCACTGCCACCGCGCCGCGAGGAGGAAAATCCAAACGCACGCAAGGATAAGGGCCGCCCGAAATGACCACGCCGCCCTCAGGAAGGAGGACTGGGCACTGGTGGCGTGAAAGCCGCCACCAACCGCTGTGAATTGCGTCCCCGCGACACGGAAGGAGGAGCAGCAGGGGTGCTGCAGTCAAGCACGCGACACGCAGTAGTACCGTGGAATTGAACGGAATGGCCATGGCGATGCGGACACTATCCATCCACACGGCCGTGCCGTGATAAAAAAATCAGAAGGCATTGACATGTAGTAGTACTAGCAGTGCGAATTTAGTACGGGGCGTGGTGGTTTGACATTCAGAGCTGACGCCCGTGAATTGGACTGTTTCGATGCGAGGACGAGGGATCTGTGGGACAAGAAGCGGGGTATCTGGAGTTTGGACCGAAGAAAACATGCGAGAAAAGGGAACGGAGAAAAGGATGAGATGTGAGAAAAGGTCGCGCGAACAAAAAGCAGGTGCGGTGCGGTGAGGAAAAGCGATGTTTCATCGCGAAGTCATCCACCGTTGCTCATCCTCTCTGTCTCGGTGGTGACACGGACACAGAGGAGGGGCAGTTTCGTCCGTCCCACCAGGCCCAGGCGCTGTACCGAACGAACGGAAAGCACGCAAAGCGGGCAGGCAGCCAACCACGAGAAAGGAGACCGACAGACAGGAGATGCATGGAGGGGAAGAAGAAACCAGTAACTGCAGATGGGGACGCGCGCGCGCTCGCCTACGTACCTTGGCCAAGGAGGAAGAAGCTGGGACAGCGGTGGGGGTGGCCTCGGCGTGTACGCGGGCGACGGCCTCCGGTGGCGAGCAGAAGGCGCCGTCCTCGCCGCCGCTGCTGGACGCGCCGCTGTAGTCGAGCGGAGACGCCGGGCTGCCGCGGGCCCACCTCCCCTTGTTGGCCTTGGAGCCGGAGCCCGACGGCGAGCGGCGGCGCGACGAACGCGTCCGCTTCCCCCGCGCCTCCTCCTTCCCCGTGGCTTCGGACGACGGTGGCCCGCTCGCCTTCCAGGGCGGCGTCCACCCGGCGAGGTCGGCCGCGCGGAGCGAGCAGATGATGCCCGCCGCCTCAGCCACCGCCACCGCAACACACCCCTCGGTCTCCTCCGTCATGGCGCCCGGTGAGTGGCAGGCAGAGGGAGGAAGGGGAACGACCGGAGGCGTGGACGAGGGAGAGGGAGAAGGTAGGCAGGGCGATGGGTGGGAAGGTGGACTGGAAATGAGAGGGGCGTGCGTGGAGTGGAGAGGAGGCCAACCAACGCCACGGCGTGGCATCCCTTTTAAATGGCCGGAATAATTAGAAGCGCGGAATGGCGGTCGGGCCCACCCCACTCCACTCCTCTCTCCTGCGGCAGCTACTGGACGCGCCGCGCGGGCCGCCACGTCCTCCCCCTCCCCCGCGTGACTCTGGTGTCTAGACGACCGACGCCGCTTGCCGGTGGGGTTCTGGAGGGTGGCCCGGGTGTCAGTGGCAGGACGGCGCAGCGTGTGGGGTGTGCTGGCTTTGACGCCGACCCGGTCCGACGACGACGTGGATGGGCGCCGACCGGAGACTGTGCATGCAAGGGGATGACCGGTGACAACAATGCGTGACCGTGGTGTCAGTGGGTTAGAAGACTCGAGGGTCGAGGCGTAGGAGGCAAAACAGCAGCCAGCCCGGGTGTGCTTGGACTTGAAGCGTGGAGCAGGAGGTGCGGTGGTAGTGGTGGCCTTCCTTGTGGCGTGTGGTGCGCAGAGCGATTTTTTTACGAGAATGAGTGAGATCTACTGTATTAATAAATTCACCAAAAGTATAAAGCACCTCAAAAATAATACTAAAAGTATTTGAGATTCCAAGACCGTTAAAAGACCTCTACAGTCGCCAGAACGAGCCGTTGTCGCCGCTCCTCTACTGGATCCGGTTTGACTTTGTCGATAACAACAGGAAAGTCTTCGTGCATGTGCCCGCCCCAATGACTAGCGCCCTGGGGCCGCAGTCCTCAACATTGAATAGATCTGAAACATAGGACACCTAATCTTGCCATACGACGAGAAACCCTAAACTCACCGCCCCAAGGAGGACACTTCCCTTGATGCTTCACATTTGAAGCCTTCTTCTTCAATGAACAAGATCTCACATGGTGTCCAACATTCTTGCACTTAAAGCATGTAATGTTGGCCGGGTTCTTGACTTGATCTTGTCCCTTCTTATTATTTTTGGACTTCTTGTTTTTGGGGATGAGACCAAGTCCGCCCTTGTCATGAGGGGATTTTTGAACACTCAAGATAGCGTTGAGAGAGGGATTTCTTTCATGACATATTTCCAAGTCTTTCTTTAAATTAGTGACTTGGGACTTGAGCTCTTTGTTTTCCTCTACAAGGTTAGTATCAACAAAAGTACTAGAAAAAGTAGAAGATGTCTAGATGAATTACTAGGACTAGCACATGTCAATAAAGCATTTTGAGTATAGATAGTGCTGATGTCCACATGAGGCTCACAAGATGTTACCTTAGTCACAATAGCCTCATGAGCTAACTTTGGCCTTTCACGGGAGACTAGAAGGTCATCATGAGAGCCTGAGAGCTTTTCATGACTTTCTTCTAATTTTCCGTAATTGCTAGTTAGCAAAGCAAGTTGAGCCCTTAGCTCAACATTCTCCTTCAAGATAGATGCTTCATAAGAAGTAGAGTTAGTAGCACAAGCATCATTGATAATATGGGAGGAGCTAGAAGAAACTAGAGACTTCACATAAGTAGCTTGAAGTTTCTCATAAGACTTAGAGAGTTTGATGAGGTCTGCTTTGACATTCTTGTAGCCAATGTCAAGGTGCTCAAAATCCTCTTTAAGTTGATCATGAGAAACTTTAATCTCTTCTTTGGAAGATTCTAAATCTCTATGAGTTTCTAGAGCATCAAGAAGGTTACAATCAAGTTTTTCATTTTGTTCTTGCTCTTTGTGAAGTAAACCATTACACTTACCAAAGTGAGTAATAAGATCTTTAAACATCAAATAAGTGTTGTTATTTACCCCACGAAGAGAATTACCAATTTCAAATATTTCTTGACTCATGTCCCTATCACATTCATCATCACCCTCATCAATATCATTACTAAGAGTAAATGATACCTCGGTGTTACCTCTTGCCATGAGGCACATATAAACATTGGAGGTTGATGATGATTCTTTTGCAGAGGAAGATTCTTCATAAACAAGAGCAGGAGATTCATTTCCATCCTCTTGACGCTCATAGCATTTCCTCTCCAACATGGTGATTTCCTTCTTTGCTCTTCTAGCAATTTCTCCATTAGTGTTGTGTGCACTAATTTCTCTTGTTTCCTCTACATGGTTAGTCAAATAACAACTAGAGGAAATAGAAGCATAGAGATCATGACAACAAGGAGTATCAAGCATATCATCATACAATGTATTCCAGGAATCTCTATATGACATGCGTGGACTATCAACACAAGAATGTATGTCATTTCTCCTAGATGTGTTCAAGTCCAAAGAAGCTACAACATTAGCATTTTATGCATGAAAGATCATCAATGTTGAGCACATCATCATCATCATCACAAATGATATTTCCACTCACCATGTCATTACCATGGGACATGCCACATGATGGTGAGGCGGAAGAACTTGAAATGTCCAAGTACACAGAGGAAGAAGCAACATGGAGATCTTCATGATTTGAAGATGTGGAGACCTCCTTAATTGACTCCTCCGCAATATGATGAATATCAACAAGATTGGACCCACCATATATATCTTAAAGTTTGGTCCACATCTCATGAGCCGTCACACAAGTCATAATTAACTCAAACACTTCGCACTACTAGGGAAAACCCTAGTAGTAGCGCTTGTTTTTAAGCTAGTAGTAGCGCTTGTGCAAGCGCTACCACTAAGGCGCTACAGCTAACTAGTAGCAGTAGCGCTGGATAGACGCGCTACTGCTATACCTAGTTAGCAGTGGCGCTTTCCTATAGTAAGCGCCACTGATAGTACTAAGTAGCAATAGCGCTTCTTATGAAAAGCGTTGCTGCTAACTTTTCCTGTATTTTTAAAAATACAGCTTATTTTCATTGTGGTTTTATATACAGTACTTTTATCATATGATTTTATGACCATGCTTAGTTATTATATATAACAGTGGGTGAAATGAACGTGGAGTAGATTCAAGTGGAGGCAACATGTGGTGCATATCGAAAGTACTACTAATCCAAACTTGATCTAGTTTGGATTAGTAGTACTTTCGATGTGCACCACACGTTGCCTCCACTCGAATCTAATCCATGTT